GAAGACATGCGTCAAAGTTCTTTGACATGCGTAGGCAAATCGAAAATGTTGCCAAACTTAGCTCTCAAAAAACATAAGTGTCGAGCATAAAGTAATCCGAGAAATAATCTTTATTTAAAAACCGATTAATCATAAATTTAAATTTTAAATTGCTTAATTCGTTATTTTTATTTTAATTTTTTTATAATATGGACTCGAATACGGATTAATTAAATAAAGATTGGGTCCAGTTAAACTTGCAACGCCGCGCGAAAAGAGTGCACACAAAAAACAAAATGTTTGGCTTAAATAAATGTTGTGTTAAGTCAACTGAATATAGTTTTAATATAGGGGAAATAAATATTTCCTTAGGAGAAATTGTCTATGTATTTGCCTAATATGTAATAAAATCTTTTAAGTCAAATATCTATTTAATTTAAATTATACCTCAAGCTTTATATAAATATTTATATATTTAAATGAAATATATGTTTTCTTTATCAAAACATTTTAAATATTTGTTTTAATAGAATAATATAGTTGAAATGATACTATATCATTATTAAATAAAATTCAATTTGTATGAGACTACCAAATATTTACATGAAACAAATCAAACAAATCGTTCGGGGATCTCGATAAACATGTATCGAGATCCCACGATTTGTTGGCACGTGGTAGGCGATTGCTTTTGCGCAGAACATGATGATTTAAATCCTTGGTAAATCCTCGGTAAATCCTTGGTATTCCACTATAAATCCTCGTAAATCCAGTATAAATCCTCATAAATCCTCATAACCTCATAAATCCCTAGTAAATCACCGTAAATCCCAGCAAATCCCCCTAAATCCCCAGAAATCCTCCAGACTGTACACCATATATCCTCAGATATTTATCCCTCGAAAAAAAAACAATAATAATAAAAAAATAATAATAAATAACTTACTTTTCTTCAAAGTACCTCCTTGGATTCATAGGGGGTGTATATCTGTTGGTGGTTAATTTACATTCACTGTATGTAGTAGACATATTGAATTGTATACTGTGAATTAAGAATAGTTCGATTGAGTTTATATGTATATGCATTTACTTACGTGTTTGCAATTATTTAACTGATAAATTTTAATTTTAATTAGTTGACCTTACTTTAATTTTTACTTGTTCATTAGTGATACATTTTTAATTAGGTAGTTGTTTTTCCAATATTGCGTAATTATTATGCATAATTGCATAATATTACATCAGCTTTTACATACAATGTATTTTAATTAGCTCTTTTTCCATGTATTGCTTATTATTTATAATTAAATATTGCAAAACAAGATGATAAAATTTTCCTAAATGCGTCAAACCAATTTATTATTTTAATTAGCTGTATTTTTGCTTATTACTTATAATTAAAATATTCCGAAATGCGTCATTAACTTAGTATAAAATTGCATGTTGGAATTAACTAGACATCAGTTGTGTGTTAAACGTTAAAACGTCTGCTACAATAATGTTTATTTTCGATGTACAAGGATTTGAATATCAATCCGAAGGGTTACCATTTTGGCCGAAGGAGATATCAATTTTGAACACCAACACGAAGGAGATTATCCACAAGTTTGTGAGACTTCCTCTTAAGATTGATTCATTGGGCTTGAGGTTATCCCATCTTAATTATACAACACACAACATCCATGGGTTGGAATGGGAACAAGGAAATGAAGAAAAAACAGAAGAAGAAACTGGTCTCCCTTATTGGATGGATAATGGGGATTGCAGTTTTGACGAAAACAACGACGACTATTTGGAATTAGGAAAAGTTTGTGAGTTTTTGAAATTCTATATAACTTCATCACCCTTTGAAACGGTTATGGTAAAGGGCGATCAAAAGAAAAAATGGCTTAAGAAAATGATTTCAAATACTGTCATAAATGTTGAAGATGAAGAAAATCGTCCGAGTGTGAGCAAAATGAGGGAAGTATTTAAATCAAACCATTTCGGGAAACATAATAATAATTTATTAAGTTGTACTCAAGAAAATGTTTACTTCGTTTACTTTTGGAACCAAATTTGTGGTTAAATAAATAAAAAATAAATATTGTAAAAGAGATTTTGAAACATTGATTTCAAATTATATATATTGTAAATGTAAAAACATAATACATTCTTGTATCAAGAAAATGTATATTGAATTTGTAGTTAAAAAAAATAAAACTATATATATAAATTTTTCTTGTTTTTATTTTATATCAATATATTAATTTAGAGAATTTTTACAGTACTGGTAAGTGGATTATATTTAACTTTTTTATTATGTAAAATCAACAGGTAAGCACTGGTGTTTCCAGAAACATCTTTATCAGTCTCCCATTCCAAACGAATGTCGACTCTTCCATTTTTTATGGTATCCATTTGGTAACAACAATCGACTACAATTAGTGGAGCCCTTTCAATAAATTTATCTAGTGTGAAACAAGGCTCACCCACATCTTTGTAGTAGTAGGACTGTTGAAATCGTGCATACATTTCATACAACAAGGCATACTGTTGTTTGCTAAAGTTTAGGTTTAAATTATCGTAGGGGTAAACCTCAGAGTTCAAATGGACTTTGAAGTTTTTTATTTGGCAGTGATCAAACATGCTGCAATCCTTATTTGGTTGATTTTTTCTATTTGTTTGGAATCCAAATATTATGTAGTGAGGTTTTTCCAATTGATTAACAGCCTTTACGTTCCAAGTGTGTTGTTTTGTTTGATTTAAAAGTGGGTATTCATGAAGTTCCCATCCACGAAACGACATAGTCAGGTCTCTTCCCTTTTCAATGACTGATAACAGTTGTAATTGGGATTGATCATCCACTTGGACATGTTCAACTTTCCACACAATTTTGTCTAGACGTATTTGTGGTTTTTCTCCTGCTTTTGTGGTGAAAACTGAATTGTTATCGGTAAAACTTCTGATTAGTGTGAGCTCTTGTCGTACATTTACAACAACCTTACGAAAGTCCTCAAATACACCCATTAGAATTTTTAACGGTATGCAAGCGTTGAAATGTCCATCAGCTTGATGTACAATTTTCACATAATCCAAATGATTCCAACCTGCATTTTGATAACGTGTGCAATCCTGATTGGTAAAACTAACGTAACCTTTCATAAGAGACGTTAAACCAGGGTTTCGAACTCTATTAACCACCACTCCAGCTATTTCATATCTTATTTATTTCATCGAATAAAAACATTAGAGCCATATTGGTTAGTTGAATTGTACCACTAGCCTTATTTTGTTCATCGAGTACGACCCCTTCCAATTCAAGGAAACTTTCGGCCGGATAGGTGTAGACATTTTGAGTTTGTATCGGGATACGCACCTCATCTTATTTATTCAAACTTGAATTTGCAAAGGGAAATAACTATGGTACTCTTTATTGACAATTGAATTATCAGTGATAATCCGCTCTCCTATGTTTAGAATGTTCATTTTTGTATATACCACCACAAGTACACAGTAGTCTTCTTAATTTAGCACCTAATGTTTGAAGTCTGAATCGAAACCAACACCAAAATTTGGATTTTTTATTTTTTCCACTAATTTTAATGATGTAATAACTTAAAGCCCAAGGACTGTAAAAATGCTCTATTCTTCGAAGTCAACCATGTAAGCTTCGTTGGCACACTAACAGCTGCTGCTTTTCTTGATTTAGTATTTATTCTAGATGATGATGACGAGGCTTGAGGGTTATATTTGATTACCATTTCACTTTTTTCAAATGCACTCGTACTGTGATCATCTCACCATTGAAATTAACCAAATTACCATCTTGATCGGTTATTTTATGAATATTTTCATCCAAATAACGAGTGTTGATTGGTAGATAAATTACGTTGGAGGGGGATTCAACAATTTTATAACCAGGGGCTACTGTTGGATAGAACATATGTAGGATATGAGAGAGTTTATCGTTGTTGTATGAATTGGCAGTCAAATTATATTCAACACATATAGTATTAACTTTGGTTATGTTGATTGGATTTTTAGACTCGTGTTATAAATTTTTTTTCAATTATTTTTTCTTAAATCCCAAGAGACTACCTATCGAATGGTCCTTGTTAAAGTATATAGTTTCAGTTGATTTTATCTCACATCTCATGGTATTACGGTTTACTTTTTGAGTTAAAAAATGGTGATGAGGTTGTTGTGTTGGGGTTGGTGTTGGTTGTTGATGTGTTATTGTTGGTGATTGTTGTGTTTTTGAATGAGGAAAAAGAAAAGTTTTAGGGTTTTTCAAGTAAGTTTCCTTGGAAACGTCATGTAGGATATGAGAGAGTTTATCGTTGTTGTATGAATTGGCAGTCAAATTATATTCAACACATATAGTATTAACTTTGGTTATGTTGATTGGATTTTTAGACTCGTGTTATAAATTTTTTTTCAATTCTTTTTTCTCAAATCCCAAGAGACTACCTATCGAATGGTCCTTGTTAAAGTATATAGTTCCAGTTGATTTTATCTCACATTTCATGGTATTACGGTTTACTTTTAGAGTTTAAAAATGGTGATGAGGTTGTTGTGTTGGGGTTGGTGTTGGTTGTTGATTGTTGTGTTTTTGAATGAGGAAAAAGAAAAGTTTTAGGGTTTTTCAAGTAAGTTTCCTTGGAAACGTGTTCATGTAGAAAAGTAGCCAAATCTTCAACTTCATACGTTCCTACTGGTATCTCAAATTCTTTATTTTCAAAATGAAACAAGTTGTTTGTTTCATCAACATTTGCAATTGTGTGATAGGTAGCCAAATTAATTAAACCCATTTCACGTTGTTCACCATCGTTTAAAATTATCGGTGGATACAGTTTTAATCGTAAAATGGATTTACGCCCAGAAAATGTAAAATTATAACTCATTTTGAACTTTGAACACAACAACAAGTACTGATGCTATTAGTACTACTGTTTAAACTCAATTAATCACTTTATCCAATTTAGAATAGTTTTATAAGGTATAAATGAAATTCAATTTAAATTCAATTTTTTTTTATTTTAAACCCATCTTTGAGATTGAGTAAAATGATCATTTTCTTCAGTAAATTCTTCAATCATTGCTGGAGGAGGAGGTGGAGGAGGTATATACTTTTGTTTCTTAGAGGATGAGGGACCAGCCTCCAAACGATTAAGATCTCCATCAGGATCTTTATCAACCAAATTGAAACGCCCCCTCCTTACAACTTTTTCCAAAATTTTGAATTCCTGCTCATTTTCAATCTTTACCCTCATTAATTTAATTGGAAGGTTGCCAAATTTTTTCTTAAGGGTAACTGCTTTTGGTGTATATGATAAACTAATAAACACTTTATCATCACTCTTTTTTAATTCTTCTAAACCATGTCTATAGACAAAAATTAAATTTAAATAAAATTAGTAAACAAATAAAAAAATAATAATAATAATAAAAAAATACAGCTGCTTACAAACAACATACAATTCATTAGTTGATCAGTGGAAAAAAGCACCAAAGTAGATGGAATATTTGCCATTTTGTTTTAAGCTGCTGCTGCTGGTTACTATGTGTGAACTGTGAAAATCTAAGCCTTAAATTTTATATTTATACTCACTTATTGACGTAATTTCTTAACCTTTGAATTTGTTTTTCTGCATTTTAGAAAAACATGTTTTGCTTAGAATGTAAAATTATCCAATTAAAATTTAATTAAAAAAACACACACATGCAAGCAAAACTAATTATTAGCTTGCGTAATTAGATAACAAAATTCAAAGGTTAACACATGCAAGATAAAACTAATTAAAATTTATTAGCTTGCGTAATTAGATATGGAAGGTTAACACATGCAAAATAAAACTAATTAAAATTTAATGATAAAAAAGTTTAAAGGTTGAAAAATACACATAGTATATATACCAAGTCTGTTTATCGTAAATTCTCAGTTTCTTCAAACAAGTTCAAGAGTATGAGTGTCCAAACCATTGATGATATTTCAAAAGAGGCTGTGACTAAATGTGAACAAGTAAGTAGACTATGTAAAACAAAGCATTAAGCATTAAAAAAAAATATTTTAATTTTAAAAAAAGCTATTAAAAATAAAAGCGAATGTGTGGGAAACTTATCAAAAATTGAATCCAACTTGGCTTTGTTGAAACATTATTTTGAAATTTTTAAAAAAAGCAAAGCAAATGTGCTTTAGGTAGAAAATTTTCACAAATTAAATGGCAGAATGTTGAATCCTGTTTTAACAGTAGAATTCGTACTGGAATTATTAGCAATTTAGGAATTAAAGACCCCAGGGTATTTTTACAACAAGCATTTCGTAGTTTTAATATAAAAATTAAAGGGGGATTGAAAAAGTCAATGTTGAAAGTTAATGTAGTTTTTGCTGGATTGTTTATAAAACCTCAAAATGATGAAACTTCTGTTAAATTTTTTCAAACTAAAAATGACATTATTAATGTTAATACCAAATTGAAAGATTGGTTTAAAGAATTTGTTGTTGATAGAATTTTATTAAAGTTGAGCGAGTTTCAGGAGAAGGATAGCGGTTGGAGTTTGTATAAAATTTTACTTTTAAAGGTTAATATTAACCATTATAACCCCATTAAACCGAGCGTTTCTACATACGTTTCCCTACCAGCTTTGTGTCATCAATATTCGAAATAATGATAAGTATTGTTTTTTATATTCAGTATTTGCTGCATTATTTCCAGTTACTGAAAATTCAACACGTTTATCATCTTATCCAAAATGTGTAAATTTGCTAAAATTTGATAATATACAGTTTCCCATTGCTCTAAAAGATATTCCAAAATTTGAACTCATGAATAAACTGTCTATTAACGTTTTTACCATTGATGATGATAAGGAAATTGTACCGTTATGTCTAAGTAAATTTGATTATTCACCAAGAATTAATCTTTTTTTAATTTCAACTTTAAATGATCAAATCATTATGAGCAATGAACCTTGTAGTAGTCGAGATGTAGTTGTTAAATGGAAAATGGTATTGCGAACGATGTCTTAACCATTTCCTAACTGAAGCTGTTTTAAAAAAACATTTGGATACTTGTAAAATGTTAAATGATGTAAAAGTTGAACTTCCCACTAAGGAAACTAAATTTTTACGTTTTAAAAATTACAAAAATAAACTAATGGTTCCCAGTTACACACATATAATACAAGATACAACTCAAATATTCGTCCTTTACCTTTAAGACTATGTAGAACATCATATGGATTTAATATTACTCAATTAAATTTTTTAATCATCTCCCTTTAAAGATAAGAGATTTGGAAGTTAAAGCCTTTAAATGTACAATTAAGAACTACTTACTAAATAAGGCCTTTTATAGCATTAGTGAATTCCTGAATTGTAATTTTGAAAATGTTATGTAGTCTCAAACTTATTTGTTTAATACTTATATTTATTTAGTTATCTAATATTGTAATATATGAATACCTATTTGACATTTGGAAAATACAGTTGTATTACTAGCAAGCAATAAATTATTATTATTATTATTATTATTATTTTTATTATTATTATTATTATTATGTTGTTTATGCTGATATTGAAAGTATTTTGGTTGATTACAAGGATAATAATATTAATATTGCTTGCTATCTAAAATGTTCCTATAACGATAGCCTTTCTAAATTTAACATATTTACTGGTAAAAATTGTGTTGACTGGTTTGTTTATAAGCTCGAAAGGATTGCTAAACGTGTTGACTATTTGCTATCAAATCCTGTTCCAATGCAAAAGTTGTCACAAAAAGATGAAAAGGAAAAATTTAATTTAGCAACAAAGTGCATTTGCTGTGGAAAAGGGTTTGTGGGAAAAGATAAGGTTAGGAATCATGATCATTTTACTGGACTATTTCGGAGTACGGCTCACAACTCTTGTAACTTAAAATTTAAAAAATCTCACGCTATACCTGTAATTTTTCACAACTTGAGTGGATATGATAGTCATTTTTTAATTAAAGCTCTTAGTACCGTATAACCTACTTGGGGTTATATGCTCCGGCAGCTCTCGTGTCTGAGAGCATAGGTCTGTGGGTTTTTATTCCTCATACTTACACTTTGGCCTGGGCGCCACCACAACTTAATAGAGTAATATAACCTATGGTCGTGGACATAAAATTAAACTCCAAAATTAGTTACTTACTTATATTTTAACTTTAATTTACTATCACAATGTTTATTTTAAGAGTATTTAAATAATTACCTGTTTATTTCAAAATTAATAAAATTTGTACCGAATAGCTATTGGTTTACACGATAAAATAAAATATATACTAATGTTTCATAATTTACTGCTTTGCAGTGATGTGATAAAAAAATTATTACTGATAAAAAAAATAAATGTTCATTAAAACCTGTTGACTCCTATCGTCCATATTCATAAAAAATTTCTGACATGCCTAGTTCAAGCTCGATGTATTCCGTCCAACCATGGGTGAAATCCGTATGACCATGGGTCCCCGCGTTCAGTGGTTTGAACTTGCGTTTATACCAACCCTTGTGTCTAAGAAGGCAGATTTCACGATGCAGGAAACCAACAGCTACGCAGAAACATCCTGTGACAGAATTTCTGTCCTACAATATGTATTCAACTTGTGGGAAAACTGGCCCGGTGGGAAAACCCTAATTGGAAAATCATTCGAATGAATATTACTTCCAAACAAAATAAAATGTACTTACGAAGTTTATTCGGTTTTCTCAATAAAACAGTCCAAACATCGTTATGTTACTTTGCAACTATCTAAGAAATAGGATGACTTAAATAATCAAGGATGATGGAAAATTTATTAGATTGAACTCACCATGCTACTTTAAAAAAAAACCCAAAAAGAGGCCATCTACTTCTATTTTTACTACGTGCGATAACTACCAGTATTCATAGTACGGAATAAGTTATTCCAAATAACTAATTACTTCACAGATCGTAATAAAATTTACTTTAGACTTCACTGATCGTCTTCAGTAAGCACATTGGCCAAGACGCCGTCGACCTCCCCACTCCAGTCTAAAAACCTCTCGCACAATCTAGAACCCTGAGTGCGCCGACGCCGCGACCCAATGTTACCACTGTACTAAATAACAATTTACTGTAATAGCACTTGACTTAAATAACATAGCGAATTCAATCAAATAACGCCAAAAAGGCCAAAGCACTTAAAAAGAGAAGAAATACCAAATAACCATAAAAAAACACCAAAACCCTAAAACAAAGATTGCGGAACAAACCCACAAATGAACGGTGACAGTTCATGACATCGAATCTGAAGTTTGTGACCTTGCCGCTTTAATAGTTTTTAACAAAAAGCCTTTAAGACAAAAAGAAAACATAAAATACAAGTAAGCAACCTTAATTATTCTAAAACAATCTAATTTACTAAGACACCTTGTCTATACTAAGTTAGGATTCCTAACACAAACTATTCTAACCTAAAACTATATTTTAGCCGATACAAAACGAAAAATGGACCTAGTACTGATCGTTTCAAAATTGTACAAATAAAACGCACATATCTACAATCACTGAACCGAAATTATGCCCTACACGTATTTAGAAAATAAATCATAAGGTGAATACCTTAGTAAATTAAAAATAAATCAAACCTTTCTCGGCTATCATAAAAACTAAAAATAAATTAATTCTTTTTAGGTCCCGTAAACTACAAAAATAAAGTCGTTTACCCAAATACTCCATAGCAGAGATAAAGAAATAAACTAAATAATAATTACCGCTTAAAATACAATATACAGTGTGGACCAGTGAGAGCGTAATAAACCAAATTATACTTATACAGTGTTTACCTTAACTTATTAATAATAATACATGTAGCGTTACTATTTGTAACGTTACACAAGGTATTCAACATGAATTTATTACCAATAAATATGGAGAGGTATATTTTTTTTACCAAATTCATTAAACATACCAAAGTTAACTTGCGATTTGTGGATTCGTTTAGATTTATGGCTAGTAGCATTAACAAGTTATGTTCTTATCTGAAGGAATCTGAAAAGTTGATTACTAAAAAATTTTATTTGGATGATAAGCAGTTTAAGCTGGTTACAAGAAAGGGGGTATTTCCCTATGAGTACCTTATTAGTTGGGAAAAATTACAGGACACTTGTCTACCACCAAAAGAAATGTTTTTTAGTAAAATAACAAATGAAGACATTTCAGGTCACGAGTACAATCACGCCCTTAATGTATGGCGAGAATTTGAGTGTAAAAATTTACAACAATATGCTGAATTGTATTTGAAAACTGATGTTTTACTTTTGGCTGATATTTTTGGAAACTTACAAGTTGGACGCGCTTCACTATTTAACAGCTCCTGGTTTGGCCTTTGATGCTATGC